GTAGTATGTGGGTATAAATTGAAGTTTTAGTGTTAGCTAGGTATTTATAAACATAAGTATAAGTTAGGTATGTTTATACATAAGTATTAGCTAGGTATGCATGTAAATATTGAAGTTTAGGTGTTATGTTTGTATATACTTTAGAATTAAGTTATATGTATGAGTTATATGCTTAGGTAATGTGGTATGTATGTATAAATTGAAGTTTGGTGTTAGTTAGGTATGCGTATACATAAGAGTTCAATGGTTTGCGTGTAAATTGAAGTTTAATTAGGTGGTAGGTTTGTATATACATAATAATCGAGTTATATATATGAGTTATATGCATATGTAATGTAGTATGTGGGTATAAATTGAAGTTTTAGTGTTAGCTAGGTATGTTTATATATTAGAGTTCAATGGTATGCTTGTAAATATTAAAGTTTAGATGTTAGGTTTGTATATACATAAGAATTCAATGGTATGCAAGGACTACTGACACTTAGCAAATCTCCAAATTGAACTTTTTCTTTGCTTTTGTTACCTACGCCATACTTGTCCTATTTTTTATTTTTATTTTAGGCATAGTTATGATATATTTTCTGTTTAGATTTTACATATTCCTTCTTTTACCGATGTATATTGCTCTTGATTATTTTTGTTGTTTGTCCTGTTATAGATGGCTACAAGTGGTACTGGTGATCAGCAATCTCAGCATCCGCATGTTCTTCACATTATAGTGAACACTTATAAGAGCAAAACGAAGAGCATGTGATCTTCCACATCTGTTGCTGCCATCTCACTTGTTGCTACTGCCACAACTGAGCTTTCTCTGGCACAAATTCGACTGCCCGCCCGATTGGTGAATGTAAGAAATTGACTTTTTCACATTTATTTTGACTCTTATTATTTAAAATGACAATTAATAATTGGTTTTTATTAGTAGGAGGAGGATGAGCAGCTTTGGGAGAGGCAGTTGCCCTCCCATACCCCGAGCATCACCAGTAGGAGTGGTAGTCAGTCTACCATTGCACAATCTAAGTTTGAGCTATGGACATAGGCAACGAGTAAGAAAAAGGTCCAGAGCTTTCGTGCTTCTATGGGTGTCATGAGCTCGTCACACCTGAATATTGTGAAGCTTGTCAGGTGGGTCGATGTTACGAATGAGTTGAGAGTTGTGTAGGTGTAGTTGGTCACATAAGCTATATTAAAGAAACGTAGTAACATTTGTAAGTCATAGAGATGGAAGTTGTGAGCTGCATGAGTTGTGACAACGTCTGTTGGTCATAGAGGCTGGAGTTGAGACCTGCATGAACTATGGACCACATAGATCATAGTTGGATATATAAGTCGTAGTGGTGAGTTGTAGCAACATTTGTATGTTGCTGATGCTAGAGTTGGGAGTTGCATGACTACTGACAATGTATGTAGGTCAAAAAGGCTAAAGCTAGAATTTGCATGAGCTATGGACTACGTAGATCATAATTGATCACATAAGCCTTTGTGTTGGGTTGCGAAGAGAGAGCTTCAAAAGCTAGTATCTTGAGTACATCGGTTGCAAGCATTTTAGTGGGGTATGTTGTTACATCGTCTTTGGAAGGTGCATTGTACAGTATGCCGCGTCATTGCACCATATTCATTGTGTGTTGTTGTACCGTCGTTGTGGCGCATTGTTATTCCACAACGTACATCAGGATTCCAAAAAGAAAGTCATGATTCCATAAGGGGCTTCATTACAATGAGCACAGGGCAATCAACGATAGAACGACGGTCGACAAGCAGTGGTCGATGGTGATCAATTATTGTAGAAGCGGGCGGCGTTCACAGGACCTTTGTTGTGGGACACAAGGCCACAACTCATTCTCTTAGATGTCTCAGGCTTGTTCCAGTTCAAGATCTCGATGCTCCTCTATGAAAGAGGTATGAATCTATTTATAGAGTTCGGGAGAGCTCTCCCTGTAAATAAGAAAGAAATTCATATCACTCCATCAGATGATATGAAGAGATTCCATTTAACGAGCGACCCGTGAACATTTGAGTATTTAATGATGTTGTAATTGAGCGATCTTGCGTTTGTTAGATTGTTCATGTCTAAACGCTCGATTTGACTACAAACTTGTCAGATTTGAAATCCGTTTAGGACATTCCAACCTTGCAAAAGAAGTTTCTAGAAATCGTTTAGTGGTCTGATTTGGGTCTAATTTGACTCGAATTGGACCAATTTTGGTGTCATTGAGTTCGTCTCGTCGAACCAATCAGTTTGATTGTAAGTTTGTTAGAATCAGAGTTCTAGATCATTCTAATTGAGATTCGAACATTACTTGCTCATAAAATCTCCTCGAGACCTATGTCGGATGATGAAAAGTTGTTGATGCCGTGTCAAATACTTAGATCTTTCATATCACATAAAAGTGAAATACACCCTCTTATGTATGGATTTATGACACCAACTTATTATATATATAAATATGAAAATATATGTGTGGGATATATAAAAGCATTAAAACTGTTTGGTATGTTCATAAACTTTCCTTTAGTTTATTGAAATAAATGAGTATTTCCATATTCACATTAATGCATCTTAATTTTCACTGAAATAACTCATGGAGTTAGAAATAAAGCCTTAAATGTTAACTACTCCCATACACCATTTCACATATTTGATAACAACAAAAAGCAATGAATTGGGAAGTGCTGCATTACTTCTTCTTTTAGAAACTTCAAGCCATTAATTGTTTACTATAACTATTTCAACCACCTTCATTTTTTTTTTTTTTTTTTGTGGAAAATATCAAATTAAATGCATTAATAAATAGTCTACATAAATATGCAATCTGAAATCAATATAAAGGTTAAATCCTTATTAACTTATCTATTTTTTTTTTATAATTTCATTTATTTTAGCCATTTTGTCTGAAAATAATTTTCAAGGCATTCTTTTAGGTTTCATTTGAGTCAGTTGTAGTTTATTAAGAAGCTGGGAAAGAATAATCTGATATTGCAAAAAATTGTAGCGGTCATTAAATTTTTTTATATAAAAAAAAGTCAGATCGCAGATAGAAATCTGCTATCGCACATAGCCATGAGCAATGCGAAAACACTAGTTTCAGCGGCTGTTTTTTTGAGAAATGTGTCAGAATGCGGTTTACCCTAAACTGTCAAAACAGCGGTGCGGTGCAGCACCACTGTGTCAAATGGAGTCATAAACTAGTTTCATACTTTTATTCTAAATTAATGCATAGTTAAAATATTTAAAAATTTCATTGTGAGCAAAAAAAAAAAAAAAAAATTTGGAATTTTACTATTATGATCAAAGAAAAAAAATAATAATAATATAGAATTGATGTGATTTATTTCAATTTTATAAAATTCTGTACCTTAAATAAATCAAAAAGACTGCTTTGGATAAAATGTCAATTCAAATTACATCAAATCAAATCAATCGTTTTCATCCATTTAATTTTGATTTTCAATTTATATGCTTTTCATATTTGGTAAATCTAATTGGGCCTTTACTCGGACTCCTCCAAAAGAATTAAAATGGATTGTTTTGGGCCTATTAAACCTACCGATATTTTCCACATATGCCAATGAAAATGCTCTTTTCCTGCAAGACCTAATTCATATATATTTACGTATCTACCACCTAAATCTTTTAAAATGTAACATACACATTTTCTCATAGATAAGATGACATATATGTAAAAATTAAAAGTTAGATGTTAGATATATAAATATATGGGTGTTTAATGGTATGCATGCAAATGTTCCTAAGAAAAAGTAGGCGAGGCTCCTATCAAGAATTTCTTGCAATTAAAGGCACATGCACCACTATAAAGCCAACATCATTACATGTAAATGGATGATAATGTAATTTATATTAAAAAGTTTCATTTTTTACATTACATATATATTATATATATATCCACTTAAGAATTATAAGAAATCTAAAGGTCCACTTTTTCATATTTTATTGCTTAAGCAAACATGCAATTGTTAGCATTACACAAATGATGGCATTTCATGTTATTTATTCTTCACAATGAATAATGATGGGAGGGATTTTTTATGGTTGACATGATTTTAAGTATGATGAATTTATTATATTTTTATTATTTAGTTTTGTGTAATTAAAAAGTGACATGAATATTTAATTTCATAAATATGTTAAAAATCGTTATGAGAAATAATTTTAGTGTTTATATTTAAAATAATGAAACAAAATCATCATTTTACTATTTTTATGTGGAAGCAATCTAAAGTGAGTTGTGGATGGATGCATGGAAGTTTAACACATGCATTTATTGAATTTGCTTATTAAACATTGGGATTTTAATTATTTAATTATAAGTTAGATTATTTATGGGCACGTTTGGGGTTGCGTCAGAGCGGCATGGAGACCCAATTGGGGCCGCTTGGGAACTCGTGGCGCGACAAACTCTTAAATGATGCCAAAGGAAACGCAGCAGCAAGCATGCCCCAACAGCCAACATTCCTTATTTGTAGCCCTGTTGCCCCTCTCCTCACCGTCGCAGTTCATTCTCTTGTCTTGGCCTAGTAGTGTGCTCTTCTCCCACAATCCTTTCTCTCTCTCCTCTCTCTCTCTCTCTCTCTCTCTCGCAATATTTTCTCTAAACTCTCTTCTCTCTCTGTCTCGCACAATTCTCACAGATAGAGTTGCCTCTCACTCTCTTGTGATTCTCACGGATAAGGTGAGGTCTCTCTCTCTCTATCCTCACAAATAGGGTTCCTTTGTGTGATCACTGTTTACTTTTGTGTTTTCTTGTTGTGTGGTGCCTTTATGTTGTGGTGTCTTCTTGTCGTGGTGTCCTTTTGTTTTGTCGAATTAACACATATAGAATGAAAATACACATATTCTAGTCCATTATATATATATATATATATATATAAATATAAATGCCTAGAGTCGAGTCGAATTTTGAACTTCTTCATTTAAATTAATAGCACTAACAGAAATCACACAAGATCACATCACCAATAAATAGATACCATATGATTCAAAGAACACTACATATTCAAAACACAATTAATTAACTCTAGTTAATTAACAATCCTATCATACCCACCATCTCCCTCCTTCCTCCTCCTGTAGATTGCAGCAACAGCAATAGCCATTACTAATCCTCCTGCAAGCAAAAGCACCCACCACTGCTCCATAAGATCTGCTATACCTTTTTCACACAAACAATCACAAATATTAAGTCTCTTATCTTATCTAGCTATATACATACTAATTATATATTAAATATGCAAGAAAATTAGCTAATTTGTAAAAACCTACGTGGCACTGTAAGTTCCTGTGAGAGGAAAGAAGTAAGCTTTGGCTGGGGCTCTGCGAGCAAAATGTAGAAGAATCCCATAGCTCCAACGTGCATTCTTAGGTTGCTGTAATTGGAAACCAGCGTTAGAAGCTCTCCATCTCTGATATTGACAGAGCCAGGATTGGGGTAGCAGGTTGACATTCCTACAATGTAGCCAGCCTCATCTCCCGCTTCTTCTCCCTCGCCATATATGGGATTGAAAGAGCATAAGAGTCGTCCATCCTGATAAATTAGATTACAGATCGATGTCTTATTGTTTGTTTTACTGTAAGAGTATTATAAATGTTTTTTATTCAAGCATGGATATAATATTGGTTTGTGTTTATGCATGTGAATTAAACATGTCAAAAATCTCTTTAAATGAATGAAAACAAATGGATTATTTGATTAGTTAAAGTTCCTAAGAAGAAATTATTTGTTCTGGTTGTTTATGGCTGTTGGTTTTATAGTTCAAATCTTCTACTTTCTTTGATAAATCAGGGTAAGAAATAATAAAATTGGGGGTGAATAAATTTATTGATAAGTTGGGCTAAGTTGATGTCGACTAATTTGCTTGATATGAAAATATTTAAAATTATTATTAAAATTTTGGGTCCGGCACTATAGCTTTATGTGTTTGGAAAATCAAGTTCTGTTTGTTTTCTCAAATAGATACTGTATTTTACAATCTGACATAACATAGTGTGGTGGTTGCCAGAAAGTTGCGGTCCGTTAGCCACGACTTTGTAGTAGTCATCATAATTTCTTAAATAACAATTTATTTTATCACAGCTTCACAACTATTTCTTTAAACAGATTGTTGATATCTCAAACATACCCTTAATCTTGTTGTTAAATCATATGAATGTCTCATCCTTCAATCTTCCAATCAAAAAATAAGATTAGTATAAAAGAAAAGTTTTTCAAATAGAGAAAAGAATGAAAAGAAATTCAACAATATACACCATTAATTACCTCTCCATACATAGCTGAACCAACACCACCAGTATGCTGATGAGCAGCACCATAAATTATATCACCACCATGAGAAATAACAAGCTTAGTCTTCCTAACATCAACACATTCTCCATTATCCTCTGCAACAGAATCACATGATGGAATATTGTACTCTACCTGAATAATTTACTCAACTCAATCTTCAAAAATTCACAAATCCAAACTCATAAAACTAAAATCTAAACATTTTTTTATATGAAATTCACATACCTTGCAACTGTAAGAAGGATTTACAAAATTCAAACCAGTGGGGAGATCTCTAGTAGCAGTAACATCAAGGATATAAATCTTAACTGGAATTATTCTCGGACTCCACTCAATCCACTTCAAAGTATACCTCAAATAGAGCTTCCTCTCACCGCCATCACCAAATCCTTCTTCTACTCTGCACTGAGTTTCATCATAACAACAATGGAGACCTCCCATATATCCATTAGCCAACTGCCTTCCATACTCATCAGAAGTTACATTATAAAGGCTACATTTACATTCTATGCATCCCAATCTATCCTCGACCTTCCTTGTATCAATGACGTGAACATTCATAAGCCATCGCTCCTCATAACCTTCAGGAACTTCATTAAGGTTTCCCACTTCTATGCCATAGGGATCAGGCACCCAAGTACTGGTCTTCCTTGTTTCAGGTCCAAGGCCGTAGTACTGTCCGATATTTCTACAAACACCAGAGTTTCGTACCATTATAATCCTTGCTAAATCATCATCTTTTACTGCTTTCTGACCGTAGTACCTTTCTAGAACCCAGTGATGAAGATAGGTTTCATGGAGAGGTATTGAGTCCCCATTCCCGTCAACTACTTCGGCAGTAAAGCTCTTTAGAGCTATGTGGCCTCTTGGGAATGGGATGTCGAAGTATACTTTGTCTTGAACTAAGCCGTGCTTGAGGACGAATGGAGGAGTGAGGAAGACAGAAGTTTTTACAGAGTTGTTTTCTTCTTTAACCCTTAGAGATGCAGCATGACAAGAAGAAGATAAGAGAATGGATAAACTCAATATCCATAACTGAGATCTCCACATTTTGTTCCTGCATATATTAGAATAGGCTGTAAGCTCTGAACTTTGTGTTTGTCTGCTTAATTCTCTTCTGAAATAGTTTAAGAAAAAGTCTAATCACAATAATTGATAGAGAAAATAAATTAATAAATTAATTAAGAAAAAATATGCCTAAACTTCGATCTTTATTTCACTATTTAATGGTTAAAATTGTGGTATTTTTTTTCTGACATGATACATTTGGGGGGTATAAATATAAAAAAAAAAGTTTAGGTATTAGATATTTAAAAACATAAGAGCTGGGGGTGTTTATTGGCATATACATAAAATTTTTTGTTTACATTTTCCTAGCTATCTAACAAATTAATAAATAATACTTATACTTCTTATACAAATAAATTCCTAAAACTCAAAACATGACTAATGTAATATCCCATTTATAGAAATCACCCAAAAACTATCAAAATTTAGATTAATTGTATGTTTGAGGCAGCTACAGTTTATTAAAAAATAGTTGTGAAACTGTTGAATAATAATCTGATGATCAAAAAGCTGAAATGGTTATTATAATTTTTTTTAAGTCAGATCGTAGCTAGAAATCCATCACCGCAGCTAATCAGGAGTGGTGGGAATATGCAGATTTCAGCATAAGCTTTTTGAAAAAACTGTCCAAACACAATTTATCCAAACAGACAAAACTATGATGAGGGTCGCACCGCGGCCCCAAACGGACCCTAAATCTTTCAAGTAGTTGTTTAAGTCATATTTAAGTCTCTCACTATTTTTTCAAATTTTCAAACAGAATTTCAGATTCATTAAATCTGAGAGAATTAGGTTTTAAGCCACTCTTCATCACTCCATTACTTTCTTCTTCCTCTTCATTTAAACCATAACTAATAAAATCATTTGCAAAACAGCTGACTGTGATCTGATCAGCAGTTTTCAGAATTCAGCACATGAATTTAATAAAAAAGATTCAAAATTTACTAAATAATTAATGCAAACTATGAAGGAGAAGAGAATTACTTACCTTATTTACAGAGCAGATTGCTGGTATAATTATGCAAACTGCAATTTTTATTTCAGCTGGGAAAAAAATCTAATTTTTATTCTTGTTCTAGAGTGTTTATAGAGAGAGAGAGAGAGGCCAGGAAAGAGAACAAGAGCCGGCCGGCCTGGGATATTTTTCATTATTGCATATGGGATCCACTTAAAGTCAATTTTCTATGTATTTATACCTGTAACACTTAAATTTTATCTTTTACATATACACTCGGGTGGAGAAAAAATAAGAATAAGCACAAATTCAGAAGAACACATAGAGATTTAATAAGGTTCGGCAAAGATGTCTACGTCATCGGAAGCAGAACGACGAATTTCTTTCCATTCCAAAAAAAAGTACAGAATACAAAATAATACATAGGGTTACAAACATATCTATTTATAACCCTAGAGAACAAAAACCCTGAAAAATAATATATAATTACGTATTCACCGATGTACCATATTGCGGGGCGTTGCCCCCGCACCCCCAACCAACGTAACGAAACTCCATTGAATGGACAAATTCTTTCGCTCCGCTTCGTTCCAGCATCTGTCCCTTATATGATATATGAATCATACTTCTTATAAATTTACATGACTAATACCTTAACTCTTATTTTTACATGCATATCCAGGCAAAAAAAAAATTTTTTTTTTTTTTTTTATAAAAATTAAAATAGATAAATAAGGTTTTGGAGATATGAATGTATAAAATAATGTTTAGATTGTAGATATTATGAGAATTGGGGGTTTAGCATGCAAGTAGTAATATTTTTGTAATTATCTTAAGTGTATTTTTTGTTTAAGTGGGGCGGAGTTTAAAATGTGTGTCGTGTGCTAACTTTATCCATTCAAACGAAAGAATATAAAAAATTATTTAAACATGATTTTATAAATTGCAATTAGAATCTGAAGCAGATAAAATCGGCACCTCATCCACAAATTAAGATTGATGAGTTTAGGGTTTTTACAAGATTTTTTCCTTTTTTTCATTAGCTCTAATTAATTTCTTGAAAATATGTTAATTAATTTTTTATTTTTTTTTTATTTAAGCTTAGTACATATTAGATAAATACAGCTCTCAAAACGGCTTGTTGTTCGTAAATGGCTCGTGTTTCGCTCGTTAAATAGCTTGTGTTCAATTCATTCGCTAAGTAGATGAGCCGAACACGAATAATTTTTTTGGGCTAGATATACAAGTCAGCCGAACACAAACAAAGATTTGTCTGTTCATGTACGGCTCATTTTTTCTCTAAATAATTAATTTATATATATATATATAAGTGATGAGCATTATTTTTAAATAACTTAAGTTAAGTAACTATAAGATTATAAAAAACTATAATCAATTAAATATATTAATTAAAAAATAGAATAAAAATACATTAAGTTCTATTTAATGAATATTTTAATATAAATAGTAAGATTTAAATCTCACTCCAACCATTAGCATCATACAACTGCGTGATTAGGGCTATCAAAATGTCTCGTTCGAGAACAGCTCGTGTTCGGCTTGCTAAACAAACGAGCCGAATACGAACAAATTTTTTGAGCTATATATATTAACGAGCATAACACGAACAACAATATCTTTTAACGAGTCAATGTTGGGCTCCGAAAAATCGTAAAGCTCTCCGGACTCTCGTTGAGAGCTTAATGGTGTGTATGTGTTAAGTATTCGGGTTAAATTTTCATAATGCAAATGAAATGGTAGATAAGACACAACCCAGAGATTTCACCCTCATTTTGTGAGGACTTTAAGATCTATGGTTTGAGGTTTCCCTTATGTGCAAGCCCTATGATTAAGTTCCTCCCAATAACGGGAGAGCACTTTTGATTAAGGCTGGTCATTAAGCGCTAAGTATTTGTACTTGCCATATAGTAGCATTAAATTTGAGAATTTAATTTATAAAATTATCACCGTAAACTCAAATCAGATGGCGGGGGAAACGACGACGAACCCGATCATGATCCCATGGTTCCATCATCCCAAGTTGTCATATTCCCGGGTCTACTTAGTCAGCGGAGGTAGTTAACCCAACATGACAAAATAATCATTGTCAGTAACTATGGGTTACTTCGTCCAATGACACCTTATAAACCTAAGGTGAATGTTTGCCTTAGGGGATCAATCTAAGTCGACTTTAGCTTACTGAGAGATTTCTACTCTATCGAATATATCATATGATTCAATACTAAAAATGTTAGAATGTCATTCGGGAACATACATACTAAAACAGTGATCGTAATATAATGGTGTTATTTGGCGGTAAACCACCTGGTTCGAGCACTATGGTCATAACTACTTCTTTATGTTGACATTTGGCAGCAAGAATTATGCGGACAGATGACTCGAGTCACATCCTTACTAACTTAAGATTTGTTATGAGAATAAATTTAGTAATATACTTAATATATCATTGGTTCTTTGTGAGCTTGAGTCAATATTAGATTTTTCCAACTCGGGAAACGATTGCAGAAATGAATGAATTTTGCTTTGAGTATCAAGTGGGATAATTTTTCATTTGAATATTATTATTTTTTATTAAATTTTTTTTAATTTTATAAATGAACCGACAGGTAGAAATTTACAATCAACACCACCATCATTGGGGAAATGATTATGGTTGACCCTATCAACTCTGTCTGGCTTACAAAGGATCAAGATCAATAATTGAAATAATTGTATTCAAAATAGATTTTGAGACATTATTTTAAAATATAGTCTTTTGGTTGATAATCACTATCAACATGGTCATCATTGAGGGAATGATTATTTTTGAGCTTTATCACTCTGTCCCGTTTACAGAGGATCATGTTCAATAATTGAAATAATTGAAGTAAAAATAGGCTTCGAGACATAATATTAATATAAACCGCTTCAGTTGAGATTCACTATCGATACGACCATCATCGGGGATTGATGTCCTTGAACATCATTAAGAGCATTAATCTCTTCAACTCCAGTCCTTGTGAGAGGGGTTGGATTGGCTTAGCGGGGGCTCAATCTTCAACTCCAGTTCATGTAACGAGGAGGATCAGATTAGCCAAAATATGAGACTTAAGATCTTGCCCTATAGGCAAGGCAGCCAGCGCCCACACAATATTCTCAGACCAGTCGTATAAATGGTAGCGAAGTTTAAGTTTATAAGCATTAAGTTTTTCACACATAGTTGAGTGACAAAATTTGGCCTTTTCATTAAATTTGGGCAGTAAAATTTGGCTTAGCATGCATTAAATTTGGGCGGTTAATTTAGCTTTACATGCATTAAAATTTGGGTGGCAAAATTTATTTGTATGTGACTTTTTTTTATCTAAAGTGGGCATGACTTCATTTTCTTCTATAAATAGAAGCATATGACTTGATTTATTTCACACATTGAACATATTGAGAATTGGAGGATTTCATTGGTCTTATGTAATTTGTAGCATTTCAATATTTCAAGTTAGTTTTTAAGCTTTTGGCTTTCTTATACTTTGCATTTTTTTCGTCTTTCCTTTTGAGTGTCTTTGCGTTTCACTTTTAAGTTTTGTTTAGATCACTTTAAGTACTTTTTAAGCTTTATTTAGATTATGTTAATTCGCAAAATCATATAAAATTTTGGTATCATCCAGGCATCGTCACCTCTTGGGGTTGCACCGAGACTTTGAGCATGCCCACCACTTCGAGAAAGGCATGCACGGTTGGTGTCATTAGACACAACTGCCAAATCTCTAAAACCCATAATGGTAAGAAAGACGTACATGAGTTACTTGCAAGCAACACCTCACAAGTAAGTATTTTTCTATTGCATCATGAGTATTGCCAACATGTTTCTCTCGTCGCGCTAAGAATAAACATACACAAGTTCCGCTCATCACTTCAAAACCACCGCAATCAGCTTTAAAAGTCCAAAAATACAACCTTTTATACTTTTACGTTGATCGACAATGACAGGAAGATGGACTTGTGCGAATCTCTAGATACGCCTGCTTACATATGCATACACAAACATACACACACATACATTGTATACAGCAGTTATCCCAAACTTTTCTCCTCACAAAACAATCATAATAGCAACATTTAATCTCAACAAAAATCAAAATCTAAACAAGCTCAAGAAAAATTTCTATAGGTGGGCCCAGTTACATACGTAAAAAATATCACATATGATCCTACTTGTGTATAGAAATATAATAATAGCTATGACATGTATGTCATTGCATGACATTTTAAATGATGCTCAAGTACATTTTCTTAATTTCATGAATAAAAGAGGATCGGAATCCGTCGCCGTTACGTTGCGTTCGTCTTCAATTGGTGTCATGCGATGCTTTTTGTCCCGAGTCGTAAATAGTAATGCATGACATCATATTACTAAAGTTCATATTTTTAATTATCAATAAACTTCCCTACTATAAGTGCATGTATTTATTTGTGATGGTGAAAAAATGAATTTTGCACCGTAATTTATAGGAAGGTCAGACACATAAATAAATAAATATTCACCATTAAAATCAAAACTTTTATACCTGTGATTCTTGAGTAGAGAGATTATAGAAGAAAAACTGGCCTGATTGGAAACATGAAGGATGGTGAAGGTGATGAGATGGTTGAAAGATTAACGTTAAGAGATGTCGATTAGAAAGTAATTGTCAAGCGATGATGATTGAGACACGGTGGTGGGGTCGTAGCGATTAAGTAACGATAGTTCAAAGAAGATGGTTGAAACAAAAGTGGGCAATGATACGCGGATGATAATGATCAAATGATGGTTAAGCAATTGTCGAGAAATTAGGGCAAAGAAATTCAAGAATCAACAAAATATTCAAGAACAAATATAAGGATTTAGCGAGGTTCGGCATTCGGCAATGTACCTACGTCCTCGGGAACAATGAGTGGCAGCTTCTATTTTTTTTCTTGAAAACAGTACATCCCTTTAGAGTTACAAATACAAAATATATATAACTCTAGTGTACAATATGTAATTACAAAATTATCATGTACCGTACCCAACACACTTAACGAAACTCCTCCAATTTGACATATGCTTCCGCCCCGCTCCAGCATTTATCTTTTAATTGATATATGAGTCATAAATAAGAAATCTCCACTTTGGCAAATATCAAACCCTTTAAGAGAAAGATATCAATAGAATGATTTTTCAATAATTAATTTAATTTATCGTTATATAAAATAGATTATCGATCGTTCATTCAATTTTGAAGTATATTAATTATCTCAAAATTGAATGATCATTAGCTCATTATATTTCTTATATTTAGACATTCAATTCAATTATAAACATGTAAGATTAGAAATAGTTTACAATCAAAATTAAATGAACATAAAACTCTCTCCTCACAACTCATCACTACGAACTACATGACCAAATGTGACATATGTGGCCCATAGCTCAAGTAGCATCTGATTTCAACCCCCAAGTCTATTGATGTCATCACAAGTCACCACTATGACCTATATGACCAACAATAATCTACATTTCTTACAACTGATACAGCTCCCAACTCCGGCCTCTATGACTTATGTACATCATCACAACTCAACACTGCAGCTGACATGACCAACTATGATCAACTTGTTCCACAACTAGTGTAGCCTTGACTCAGACCTCTGTGGCCGACAAACGTCATCACAGTTCACCACTACGGCCCACCTGGCTTACAGCTCATGCAGCTCCCGAGTCCAGCTCTTGTGGCCTACAAACATTGGTGCAGCTCACCACTATGATTTACGTGTCCAACTACGACCTATGTGATCCATAACTCATGAAGCTTTCAAATCTGGCCTCTGCATCCTGTGAGCGTCATTACAACTCACCATTGTTGCCTACATAACCAACTACGACCTATGTGGTCCACATCTCGTGCAGCTCTCGAATATGACATTTGCGGCTTATGGACGTCATTACAGCTCACAACTACGGCCTATGTGACCAACTACATGATCATACGTGATGGAGAATGGAGTAACACCAAAAGTTTGTTATACACTTTAACACCTTGGTGTTATAAGCTTATGCATGAAAAAATGTGTTTTTCGTTTTCAAAAAGATAGTAATCAACCACCTAAGTAAAAATATATGTTGAGTCAGTCAGATTGGAGAAGCACAGAGACTTCTTTTTGGGATATGCAATATGATGCATTGAACTTATCAATCCTAATAAAGGGGCCCAATTAAATTGTTGGGGGGATATAATCATGTTTGCGGCTCGTTTAAAATTTGGTCTGAAGGTCATGTAGAAACGTAAAGATAGGTTTTAAAATCTTGAATTATTTTGAACCCAAAATTAAATTAGTCTCAAAATTTTATTATTAAACTTTTTGTAGAAAGTTTATTAGATTGTAGGACCTAAAGGGTATAAACTATGCGCACTCTTCACAGATAAAATCACAAGCCAAAAAGGGCGAAGCCAATCTAAACATGCAAATTATAAGAAAATAAAGCAAGTAAAATATAAAATAATAAAAGACCAGTGTCGTTGGATCAACAACATATTTTTGAAAAGAAAAAAGACTATCAGCTAACTACATACCTGGTCCTAATTATATGCATCAATGAGATTTAGAACTAAGATATGAAACATGAGCAAAAAGCTCTCGATCCCCGTCACGTGGTTCCGCCTTCCTCGTACCTTATTTCCAACACAAAATTCTCCTAAGAACTCTAAAAAAATACATATAAGAAATTAAAAATAAAACTTGACATGCATGGAAAACAAAATTAGTAGTATAGTCAACCACATGCAATGTATATGAGTCATGCCTGGCTGAAGGAGCTGAGCAACGCCTACAAAAAAGAATTAGTATTTTATCAGGTGAATATTGTCCTACGGGGGCTGGGTACGGCCCAAACGAGCTAAATCCTAATTTTATGTCCGAGTGTCTGTAAAAAGGTTTCTACTGATCTGAAAGCTATGATAAATCATGTATCCTTAAAATAAGACAACTCAGGAATGTACATTACAGATTCTTTAAATTGGGCTTTTGGCACCAACAAACATCCCATACACTCTCACGAGTAGTTTAGTCCGAATCCCAATTTTCACAAAACGCGCGCGAGAGAGTCTTTGATCACCCTTGATCACGAGAGGTTCCGAATAAATGGAGCATGGTCTCTAAACACCAGAATTGACATAAATATGTCCCATGTTAGAATTATCACATAACGGTGAGCATTCTCGGGTACTGTTGAATCAGTACATATCATGATTCCCTGTTGGAGACACGTTTCAGGATGTCCGAGGATTAGAGGAGTCCTTGAATCATGAGAAACAAATTCACAAGCATTCAAGTGGACACCCCACATATAAGACATCAAAAGTGATGCCAACATTCCATATTTACATTTATAATATGTTATTATTATAAATCTGTACATAAATTGAATGGTGTATTTCACTTTTACAATATAAGTGCTAGTGACAGTTTATATGTGTATTAAAAATTTAACCGGTATGGATGTAAATATGAGAATTTTGGTGTAAGATATACATTAAATTTGTGTGGTATATACATTTAAATGCCTTTTTTTTCAGTAGAAATGAAATTTCAACTTATCCTTCCTTTTCAATAACAGCATTCGGACATAGCTAGAGAATCACTGACAGAAACATGATATCTCAAGCATTTATTTTCAACTGAAATCGCATAAGATCACACCACCAATAAATAGGTACCATATGATTCATAGAACTCAGCATATTCAAACCATAATTAATCAACTCTAGTTAATTAACAACCATCTGATACCCGCCATCTCTCTCCTTCCTCCTACTATAGATTGCAGCAGCAACAACAACCATTATTCCTCCTGCAAGCAAAAGCACCCACCACTGCTCCACAAGATCTGCAACCCCTGTTTCGCACAAGCAAACATAAATATTAACTCTCTTCTCTTATCTAGATATAAACATACTGATTATATGTTTAATATGCAACAAAACTAGATAATCTAAAACTACTTACGTGGTACTATAAGTTCTTGTGAGAAGAAAGAAGAGAGCTTCGGCTGGGGCTCAGCGAGCAAAATGTAGAAGAGTCCCATAACTCCAGTGTGCATTCTTAAGCTGCTGTAATTGGAAACCAGCGTCAGAAGCTCGCCATCTCTGATATTGACAGAGCCAGGCTTGGGGTAGCAGGTTGACATTCCTACAATGTAGCCAGCCTCATCTCCTGCTTCTTCTCCCTCGCCATACATGGGATTCGAAGAGCATAGATGTCGTCCATCCTAATAAATAAGATTACTGATCAATTTTTCATTGTTGGTTTTACTGTAAGAGTAAAATATTGGGTTGCATTTTTGCAGCATTAATTACCTCCCCATACAAAGCAGTACCAACACCACCAGTATGCTGATGCGCCACACCATAGATTATATCCCCACCATGAGGAAGAACAACCTTAGTCTTCCGGACATCAACACATTCTCCATTATCTTCCCCAACAGAATCACATGACGGTATAGTGTACTCCACCTAAACAATTTACTCAACTTGTTATTTATGAATTCCCAAATCAAACCTCATAAACTAAAATCTAAACATTTTTTTATACAAAATTCACTTACCTTGCAACTATAAGAAGCATTAACAAAATTCAAACCAGTTGGGCGATCTCCAGTATCAGTAACATCAAGGATATAGATCTTAACTGGAAGAATTCTCGGACTCCACTCAATCCACTTCACAGTATACCTCAAATAGAGCTTCCTCTCACCGCCATCACCAAATCCTTCTTCTGCTCTGCATTGAGTTTCATCATAACAACAATGGAGACCTCCCACATATCCATTAGCCAACTTTCTTCCATACTCATCATAAGTCACATTATAAAGGCTACATTTACATTCCGTGCATCCCAATCTATCCTCGACCTTCCTTGTGTCAATGGCGTGAACATTCAGAAGCCATTTCTCCTCATAACCTTCAGGAACTTCCTTAGGGTTTCCTATTTCAATACCGTAGGGATCAGGCACCCAAGTACTAGTCTTCCTTGTTTCAGATCCAAGGCCGTAGTACTGTCCGATATTTCGACAGGGACCAGAGTTTCTTACAATTATAATCTTTGTTAAATCATCTTCTTTTGCTGCTTTCTGGCCGTAGTATCTTTCTAAAACCCAGTGATGAAGGTAGGTTTCATGGAGGGGTATTGAGTTCCCATTCTCGTCAACTACTTCGGCATTAAAGCTCTTTAGAGCTATGTGGCCTCTCGGGAATGGGATGTTGAAGTAGAACTTGTTCTGAACTAAGCCGTGCTTGAGGACGAATGGAGGAGAGAGGAAGACAGAAGTTTTTACTGAGTTGTTTTCTTCTTCAACCCTTAGAGACGCAGCGTGACGGGAAGAAGATAAGAGAATGAATAAAGACAGTATCCATAACTGAGATCTCCACATTCTGTTCCTACAGGTTTCAAATTAGGCTGCAAGCTGTGAACTTTCTGTTTGTCTGCTTAATTCTATTCTGAAATGGTTGAAAGTAAGCCTGATCTGATTCAAATCACATAGCATAAAATAAAATAAAAATTAAGCATTGATTTAAGACTAATTTTTCATAATTTTAGTTTACATTGTTGTTGCACTTTTATTTATTCATAATGATATATAAAGATATAGTTTTTCATAGAGTTTATCATTTAATTTCGCAAACAAAAAAAAATGAAAATTAATTAATCCCCTAAAATTCCTTTTTTTTTTTTTTTTTGACTTTCTTCCTTCCATATAAATTTTCATCTGAATTTTATAGTTGACTTGCTCTTGAATTTTATAAATTAATAAATTAAGGAAGATTTACATGCATAGCACTCAATTCCTATGTATTTACATCTCTAAAACATAAATTTCATTTTTTTACATAAACACCTTTCACTTTTTAATAGATAAAAAAGTTCTAATATGAAAATTTGGGTGGTATAAATATAAAAAAGCAATTTTTAGGTGTTAGATATGTAAATACATAATCCATGTTTTGCATAACAGCTGGATTGGAATATCCACTTAATTTTTGGCACTTTCTCTGAAAAAAACATTCATCGCCGCTATCTAACAAATAAATTCGTAACACTGAAAGTGCAATATTCCATTTACAGAAATCACCCAAAAGCTACCAGAATTTAGATTAAGGATGCGTTTGGGACATCTTGTGCGTGAAACGAGGCCCGCGGGTAGGATATTGGGTTCGACCCGCGGCCTGCGTTTGGTGTAAAAACCTAAACGCGGTTCTAGATAAGCTGGCGAAACACACGAACCAAATAAACTGCCCCAAACGGGCACTAAATCTCTCCAAGTTGTTGTTTAAGCCATACGGAAATCTCCCACTTTCCTTTTCAAAACTTCAAACAGATCTAATCAGCAGTTCTCAGAATTTTTAGAACATGATTTTATAAAAACAATTCAAAATTTACTAAATCCACCAACTGCCCCCCTTCGACTTCGTAATAAATCACAAAACAGATGAAAAAAAGATATTTAAAAAGCGATTGGACTAAGAAGAAGAAGAGGCTTTTACTCACCTTGTTTACAGAGAAGATTGCAGACAGAATTATGAAAACTGCAATTTTTATTTCAGCTGGGAAAAAATTCTAATTTTTCTCCCTGTTCTGAGTGTATATATTTCAATATATAGTGAGAGAGAGGCGGGAGGGAGAGAAGAGAAGAGCAGGACGGCATGTGATATTATTTTGCTATTGCATATGAGATCATTGATTACATCATGTATTTAGTACTGCCCAGCTTAAATTCAACATTTGAGATTTTTTTTTGTACATTTACACATATACCAACTAATTTCTATGTATTTATCTATCTAACAGTTAAGTTTTATCTTTTACATTTATACCACACATGCTACCACTCAATTCCTACTACATATTTACATAACTAATGCCTAAAGTTCTATTTTTTCTATGCAATAAATAAGTGTGTTTTATTTTGTAAAAATTTAGGATATAAACGATTCAGGTGATATGAATATATAAAATAATGTCTATGGTAGATATGTAAATATATAAGAGTTGGGTGGTTTAGGTGATAAGAATTGTGGGTTTTTTTATATATAACACCCAAATCTAAATTTTCATACAAAGAGTAGCACTTATTGTCATTATTTAATAGTAGAATTTATCTTTTCATTAGTGTCAAGTGCTATGTGTGAAAAAAAGAAAGTCGATGCATCACCAACAAATTTTCTATCATCTATCACCAATCTTGAGGTATGACGCGAATCTCAAGATAATTTTGTGAGAAAGAAGTATTCAAACTTCAATTAAAAGTCATCAAGAGCTCCGATTTCAGCAAACTTATAGTCAAACTGACCGACTCGAAGAGACTGACATAATGATATCAAAGTTAGCCAGATCCGAGTCAAATCAAGCCCAGATCAAGTGATTAAATCATTTTTAGAAGATTTTCGGACACATTTGAAAGATCAAACGAATGTCAAATTCAGTGAGTTCATAATCGAATCGAGCATCTCGACAAGACGAATCCAACAAGCCCAAGATTGTTTAATTCCAACATCGTTAAAGCACTCAAATGTTCACCAAACACCATTTGATTGAAGGAAGCTCTCCGGACCGTTGGATCAAAATGATTCATATTCATGCATTAATTGCACCCAGAACACTATAAATAAAGTCACACCCCTCACATGAGAGAGAGGAGGCTTGGGTGAGAACTTGAGGCTTTGAGAAGAAGCTCATGTCCCACATCATCATTGTCATCGTCGATCGCTGTCGGCCGCCGTCGACCACCACCGCCTATCTCCGTCGACCATCGCCGCCCTTCGTCCATCCCCGCTAATCACCGCCAACCGTCGTCGACCAAACGCCGACAATCAGCATTGTAATCTGAAAAATATAGTTATCATTTCTCTTCTATGGGACATGGGATCTCTGTAATCATTGAAAAATAGTGAATTTTCACACCTGGGCCAGTCCCATGATTTTTTCCTTTCCGGGTTTTCAATGTTAAAATTTCTAGAGTTGTCTCTACTTGTTTATCTTTCATCTGTGTGTGTGCTGAATTCTCGTACAACGCTAAGACAATAATTCGTTACTCTACCGCGCAGATTTTTTAGCTCGCATTAAAAGTTTTAGTGCGAGATATACAATATATATATATATACACGGCACTTAAAATAAAAATTTATTTTTGAAGTGCGGCGGAGTTTAAAATACGTAGCGTGCGTTAAATTTATCCTTTCAAAATAAAGAATGTAAAAACTTTTTTTAAAAACATGATTTTATAAATTGGTATTAGAAAACTGAAATAGATAGAAGAGTTGGATCTTTAGAAGGTTTTTTTCTTTTCTTTCTATTTTTTTTCGTTATCTTTGATTAATTTCTTGAAATTTTTTTAATTAATCCTTGATTATTTTTTTTTATTTAAGCTCATTACATTTATAATAAATTCAATTTTTGAATTCAAATTTATCCGTGAGTCACACGAAGGGAATAGATAATAAAATGAAGAGAGAGTGAGAGAAAATAGTGGGCACCATAACGTATAGTTGAATGAATTTTCGATTAGTCTTTAGTGAAGAAAAGATCTATCTATTTATATGAGAGAGGGGTATAATGTGTACAATTATATAATCACATTTGCTAAAATGTGGGTGTTATAAGATATTTTAGATATTTATATAAATTAGCCTATAGTTTTACTACTCTGTTACTGGCTCGGCTAGATCACTGAGCCTTGGTTAGATAAGGCTAGTTCGGCCCACTGCGCTATTTTGGGGATGACAGTTGACTCTTGTTTATCTTCGATTGTCTGAACTTGGCTCAATCAGCTTAATTCTTATCTGGCTTTTGACAATCGACTCCTAGATGAGGAGCTTCAGCAACCAAGATGAGGCTAGACTGTCGAACAAATGATGAATCACAGTAATCCTACAAGCAGCTCTCCCCTTGACAAAAGCTCCTTCGAGGTATTCGTGGAGTATATCGTAATAACACCCTCGACCTTTTGCTGAAAAGTCGAGAAGGAGCTTATGCGATGGTTGGTAATGTTGGGGCAAGAATTGGGCTCAAGTCTTATCTCGGCTTGACTTAGTTTAGGCTTTGGTTTAGAAGACTCTCATCTGGTCGGTTTCGGGTTCCGATCTAAATAAAGGATCTACACTTGATCAATTAAGTTGGATTTTATATGAAAACCTCAAACAAATGGATATGAAATGACCCACCAAATTGAAAATGTTGAAATATTATTGAAAAGTGATAAAGTGATTATTCAAAATGGAAGTGTGAGGAAGCCGAGCGATGGCCTTTGAATTGTCGGCGATGATGATCAAGCAACAATGGTTAAATACCGGTAATAAAGTAATCACATATGATAGGGGACCTGCAACATCAATTGATCATCACTATTTATTGCCACCCACCCTCTTGTATTGATGTAGAAAATAAGTCTCTTTCCTCTTTAATGCCTACCCACCGTCTTATATTGATCGTCACTAGTTATAGCGAGATTAGTTTGTACTCACGAATAAAGTATACAGAGTATCGAAGCACAAGAGATTTTTAATCTATCCCATTATTCTTATTTTGTATGGCTAATCTTTCCTCACATAAATTTTCTTGGAATTTTTATTTCCTGCAATGCTCATGTTAGCCAACTAGATGGGTCGCCTTAAGGAGCTTTATGATTGATCTGTGCAAGAGAATTTAAGGAGGTAGAGTCTTTAATTAATGTTTTAGCGCTGCACTAGAATACAACACTCACTCGGATAATATAGATGATGGATAGACAGAGACATTAGAAAATTTTTACATGAGAAACTCGAAAAGGGAAAAGACCACGAGATCTAGCTTAATTGAAATAAATCCAATATAAATTGGTGATTACATATAGTATTTTGTCCCATAGACGATAAAAGGTTAAATTGTCTTCCAAGATATATTGTCGGTGTGCGGATGAACTTGTCGCCCGACGGTAGAGATGTTCACAGTAGAAAGAGATGTTCACAGTAGAAAGTAATAATGAAAGGATTCAATGTGTCTTCTTCGCTATTAGCATGGTGACTGTGATGATGCGATGCATCGCATGCTATTTGTGGGGCATCGTAGGTTGTTTTGTACGGTGCTTCGTCACGAGAATAGGGCAGGGGCGATGATGATCAGCGGCGACAAATGATTGGTGGTTGTTTGTAGAAATAGTTGTGGTCAAAGGCTCTAGAAGCGAAAGCGACAGGAGTTGAACGAATCTGAAATACTTTGATTGGATGGTATGGAGAGATTTGCTCAAACGAACGGTGTTTAATGGATATTTAACTTTCTTAACATTATTGAAATTGAGCAATATTGGGCTTGTTGGATTCTTCTTGCTAAGACATTTGATTCGACTATAAGCTTGACATACTTGACATCCTTTTAATTTTCTAAATATGCTCGAAAAGCTTCCAATTATGGTTTAATGGCTTGATCAGGGTTTGACTTCGTTCAGATTGGACCAATTTTGGTACTGATATGCCACCAATAAATTTTCATCATCTGACACGTATCTCGAGACATGACATGATCTCGAGACAATATTTTGAATAAGAAACATTCAAATCATAATAAAAGGTTATCCAGAGCTCCGATTTCAACAAACTTATAGTGAAACGATCAACTCGATGAGATGAACATAATGATATAAAAACTAGTTCGATCTGAGTCAAATCAAACCTAGATCAAGTCATTAAACCACTATTGGAAGATTTTAGGACACGTTTGAAATGTCAAATAGATGCCGACACTACCAAGCCGATACTCAAATTGAGCATCTCGACAAGACAAATCCAACGAGCCCAATATCACTAAATTTCGACATCATTAAAGCACTCAAATGTCCATGGTTTTTAAAGCACTCAAATCATTAAAGCACTCAAATCTCGACAAGACAAATCCAACGAGAAAGATGAACCTGTATATTCATCATTTATAGTGAATTTTCACAACTCGGCCAAAACCCATGGTTTTTCCTTTTACGGGTTTTCCACGTAAAAACCTTTGGTGTCACCAATGTATGTTTCTCTTTTATTTGTATGTGTGTTGAATTCTCGTACAATGTTAAGACGATAATTTGTTACTCTACCGCTGTGAATTTTCTAGCATGCATCAGGTACCATGGGTACGTCTCGCTGAGCCGGCCAGTTTGACTTTAAGTTTGAAAAAATCAAAGCTATGCTTAAAGTTTAATCTAATCGTGAATATTTCTTACTCAAAAAATTACCCTGAAATCTATCTCATACCTCAAGTTTCATTTTAGATGGTAGGAATTTGTCAATGACTTAGTAATTTGGCAAGTTCGGACGCCTAGGCGAGGCTGTCCGTTTTAGGCATTATATTAGCTTGACCTTTCTTTTATTCAAGAGATGAAAATATATTCATGATGTCTTTATAAAAATATATTTGGATTGCAAGAATACCATGCCGGAGGCCCAAAGGGAAGGGATAATTGATCGGACGTCGACCAACCTTGAACCGAGTTGCCATAAAACATCTCTCCGGCGCATTCCTGTAATTTACAGAAATCGCGCAGACGAAATGTTCGACGAAATTCCCCAACCGGATTCAGTATTTGTTTTTATTATTTTCATACTTTGATCTGCTTCAGAGTTTAATTTCAGCTTTAATTGAAAGTTTTT